TTCTTCTGGGTTGATCCTTTCAAGCTTCTCGTCTAGGACATATTCTTTGTCCTCATAACGAGTTATCATGCGAATGTATCTCATCCACTCGTTGAAGTTCGAGCCATCAAATGTCACTTTTTGACACAGGTTCATCAACGAGAATGACCCAGAAGTGTTGTTGTTTGCGTTTGCGTTTGACATCTGAAATAGAAAGGAACAAAGTTTGATTAGAATGAATCCCTAATTAAACACCCACATGAGAAATTAGGGCTAGGATCCAACAACATTATTTACAACTTAGAAAAGGGATGCCGTAATCTAAAAGTAAATAATTTGAAGGTAAGTGAATGACGATTCACTAATTTTCACCATGAAAAACGAAAGAGGTTAAGTTTTAAATGTATTTGAAAATTCCTAGATTTCTTTTGAGATTCATTGAACATTTCAATGGCATGTTTAAATCTCGATATGCACTTCAAATTTGCGACTGGGATGCCGAGGATCGCAAACAAGTTTGTGAATAACCATGCGAATCATCATGGTGCACTCAATGTCTTTATCACCTAATCAATGTGCTGGTTAGCCACGCACGCTCCATTGATCTATGATAAGACATCGAGCCACCCTTTGTCACCAATGTCAATCCCAAATTAGTGTGCTGGTTAACCACGCACGCTCCACTAACGTTTGACAGGGGTACAAAGTGTAATTCCATGGAATAGCATCATTTTCACATTTTACCCTAAAGTAACTAAGAGTGGGAATTTGTAAAACAATGTAGTTACTTTAATATTTCCATTATACTTATAATGAGGAATTAAGTGCCCTATCCTATCCGTTCGGCTAACGACCCTCCACCAGTCAAGCAAGCGGTAGATGTGAGTGTACATCCATTAAGCGCCATTTTATAGGCAGCAACCTTATACCCACCTTATAGACTGGCTTCGTGAATGAGGCCTACTAGCGATAAGACTAGCTTATTCTTATACATATATATAATAATTAATCTTATAATATCATAATTGTATAAGGGTGTATTTTAAAACATTTTAACATACTAGTGTCTTTGTTGCATTTAAAATTTTCGAAAATTAGACAATTTAATTTAAAATTTTAAACACCAAAAATCTTTGATTTAATAATTATCAAAATTAAACAATTAATTTAAATTATTAAATCATGAAGGATTATCATAAAATTAAACAATTAATTTATCCTAATCCTTTTTATCCCCTAGATTTCGAAATTTATGGAAAGGATAATTCAAGATCTTCAATTATCTAGTTTAAACAATTAAGTTGATAATCACCAAGATGGCATTATCCAAATCCCTAAAATTTTGGGATCTTGTCTTGGGGGGCAAGGGATTTTCGAAATCCCTAGGGTTTCATAACCCTAATTTCGAAATTTGGAGGCTAGGCAAAAAAAGGGTTTAAGAACCCTACAAAAAATCGCCAACTAGGGTTTCTTAACCCTATTTTCGAAAAAACACCAACCCTTAGGGTTTACTTGCCATAAACCCTAATTTGTCAAAGTCATAATATGTATCAAATCAAATTGAAAACAAAAACCAAAGGCTCTGATACCACTGATAGGTTTTATACAAACAATCCTATGTATGCATGCAACCCTAATTGGATCTATGTTTTCACTATAAGACATACAACTATATGAACACAAAATAAACCCTAGCATGCTTCTATAATTTTTTGAAAATTATATAGAAGTGTAGTAGACATACCTTTGTTGTTATATAGCAATAACAACTAGTTTCCTTGATCTCTTGAACTCTTGAAAGCAAGCACCACAATTGTAGTGCCTCTAATGGCTCACAAACACCTTGAAGCAAGAAGGCAATTAAGAGAGAGAGGGGAAGGATGCTAATTTCGGCCCTAGGGTTTCCCTTGGAATCAAGTGGCCTAAAATTGAAGCATAGGGCATCTATTTATACTGTAGGGTGCTAGGGTTTCAGTCTAAACCCTAATGGATAGCTTAGCCACCAAGCAGCCCAAGGAACCTTCTGGAATGAGGCCCTTGGACGAAAATATGATGATCCCTCATCATAATTTCGTTCCCCCTTAGTCCATTAGGTTTCTCAGCCCAAAACTCAACTATCACACATTTGACAGTTTATACCCCTTTATTTAATTAATCTCTTTTAGTCACCAAATTAATTCCTAATTAATTTATGACTAATACTAATTAAATAAATATGATTTCTCCTTTAATATATTATTCTTATAATATATTAATAAACCATAATATCTTCTCTCTCATATCAAATTACCTTGTCAAGTTGCTTTGGTGAAGGCAACCCAAAAGGACCATGCACACTCGGGTCAAGTACATACCAAATATAGTTACAGACTTAGACACTAATCCAACAAGGAAGACCCGGGGGTTAGCCCTAGGCACTATGTATGAAAGACCAGGAGGTAGCTCCTGGCACCAAGCATGTTATTATGTATGACAGGAAAACCCGGGGGTTAGCCCTAGGCAATATGTATGAAAGACCAAGAGGTGGCTCCTGGCATACTGAATGCTCATTAGCTAAGTACAGTAGTATGTATGCTAGTTATCTTTGTGATACTTGCATGGAAGACCAGGAGGCGGCTCTTGGCACTTGTCTGTAAGACCCAGGGGTGGCCCCCGGCTTGGCAAGAAAGACCACGTGGCGGCCCGTGGCATAACAGTAAGACTATGTGCGGCACATAGCACCTTATTTGATATATGATTGATATGTATGGCTCACAGTATGTATGGCATGTATGGCCCAGTTGATATGTATGGTATGTGGTATTTGGGGAACTCACTAAGCTTCGTGCTTACGGCTTTCAACTTTTGTTTCAGGTACTCATGTTTTCAAAGGAAGGAGCTCGGGACGATTGCAGCGCATCACACTATGATTTCCGTATTTTATGATCTTTGGGATTTGAACTCTGATATTTGTTTAAATGGGATGTTTTCAATGACTGGAACAAAGTTATTAAATGTTTTTCTTATATTAAAAATGAGATTTTTAGTCTCGAAATTTGGGATGTTACACTTTTTACCTAAGAAAAACCCTAACCCCAATTCCTTGGTTGATTCTTGGCCTTTTAGAGCATTTTTTGGCTTGAAGAAGAATAGAAGAAGGAGAAGAATGTGTTCTATTGGTGAAGCTTGCAAGGAAACATCATCATCATCATCTCATATTCTTTTTGGACCCTTGTAAGCGTCAATGCTTCCACTTTTATTGTTGTATATGGCTAGATCTAAGTTGTATCTCACTTTTCTCCTTACTGAGCAAGTTTGAATGAAAGGAAACCAAAAAGTTGGCAACTTTATGGGTTATAAGGATCCTTAGAATGTCACGAAGTTCATATCTAGTGGATGGTTGGGTTTTGAATCCTTACATGAGAGCTTGGTGATCTTTTCTACATTTTTTATCCAAATGAGATCTAGACATGTATTAGACATATATGTCTATAAAGCATCGACTTTTAAGTGGATCTTGGAGTTATAAGACCTTCGGGAAAAGTTAGAGTGAAAGGCTTAATGGATTAAGGACTTAAATCTTTGGATTTTGGCTTCAGACTGTGCTCATGACGTGAGACATAAGGTCTCACGTCGTGAGAATGAATGACCCCGTTTTCTACTGAGCTTTTTGGGGCTTACAACATGACAAAAGGCTATTCACGTAATGAGATCAGCTTAAATGTTTTTCCATGTCTAAGTTGGTTGAGTTGGGTCGAGACGAGTTGGAATCGGACTGAGTGGACTCTCACGATGTGACCAAGGGTTGGTCACGATGTGAGGCTTAATGGTTGACATTTTAGGATGTTGACTTTGACTTTGACCGTTGACTTTTGGCATGTGTTGACTTTGGATCAAATTTCTATTTTTAGATGGTAGACTTAAGGTTTACCTCGTGTGGATTGTTAGTAGGTGTCTAGCACCCATCTTTTGGCGGTGAGAGCTGTTAGTTGTGGCCAACGCTACATTAAGCTGGGTTTTAGTCGACTTTGTGATTCTAGGTAAGTCTCCTTACTGTACTTGTGGGTCGAAGTCACCAATGTCGGTCCACTGGATTATGTTATGTAGGAAGACCAGGTGGTGGCCCTTGGCAATTGTATGAAAGACTTGGATATGGCTCCCGATAAATTATATACAAGACTAGGGTCTGGACCCTGGCAGTTATATATAGGATGCTAATTGTCTTTGTGATACTTACATGAAAGACCAGGGGGTGGCTCTTGACACTTGTTTGCTTTAGGTACTTATGGTTCCAAAGGGAAGGGCCCGACGTAACTGCAAAGCATCTCCCAGAGTTTTCTGCATTGGCTATTTGTGATTTTTACTTTGATGTTTAAATGATATATTCACTTTGAATGATTTTGGAAAAACTCTTTTGTACGGTTTATTGTTTTAGAATGAAAATTTACTATGAATTTTTGGGACGTTATAGTATGTCAAGTACGTAGAGCACCTCTACGGACTTGATGATTATTTTAATTAATTTTAAGAAAAAATAAGTTTAAAATGGTTAAATTTGACAAATTACTATATTTCATTCTAAACTAGCTGGGAGACTAGTATATTATACGAGTTTATTAAATAAAAGTTAAATATGAAAGTTCAAATTTAGAAGTTTGAATTTAATAAAAAAATGGAAAAAAATATTGAATTATTGAAATTAAAGTGTTCATTTTAAACAAATAAACTAAAGAAATCATTGTGTTTTAATTTAGAAATTTTGAAATTAGAAAGAAAGTTGTATTAATGAAATTGATATCTATTTATTATTATATTTATTACTGCTATTAAGTTTAAATACAATGTGAAAATTAATAAATTGGAAAAAATTATAAAATGATATTTGGAAAAAAAATAATCATAAAATAACATATAAAAAATAAAAATGTGTTATGTGATAAAAAAAAAATATTTATTTATTCGTAATAATATAATTATTTTAGTATTTATTTACTAAAATTTAAACTATACAAAGCAAACATTCACCTAATACCCACCGCCGAATCCGAACGTTGAATAACCCGTTGGAGAAATCACACCCCAACAAGAAAAGCAACGGGAGACCGCAAAAGCAGTGCACGCAACTACGACACCGTTGCAGCCTTCGTTTTCATAACCAGAATCACATGGATATTTTTTCTTCTTTCAAATCATCTTCTTCGCATTTCGTTTTCGTTTGTTATTGATCTTCATTTCATATCTCCTCCTTTCTCCATACGATTGGAAATCCAATTTTTGCCCAAATCAACGACCAATGTACCGAATTCAGATATGGAGAAGGCTTCTATTTTGTGTTTTTAGCATGTAACAAACGACGAACAAGTCGTGTATATCTCTCTTTTTCCTCAGCATTTCGATATGTCTATATCAGGCAAGTGTTTTGATTCTTTAACTGTTCTTCTCATTTGAATCGTGTTCTGGTAATTGGTGTTACTGTATCTGTACAGGTTTCGAACGGATTGATTGATTAATAAATTAACGGACTGAATTGAATTTGTTATTGGTTGTTACGGATATTCGTGTCAATTGCATGGCAAATCGTCAAAATGATTCAACTTAACTTTTCCCTATCTTTATCGTATTAAATCGGTATCACGTTAGGGTTACGTTGCTATAAATCTGTCAAATACACGTACGTACTATCTTACTCGTTGTAATTTAAGAGAATTTATAATATATGCTATGTTCATTTGGGTCGCAAGTTTTCCATTTGTTTTATTCTCATTATGCTGGTGCCATATTGCATTGTAGCTATATAGCGTTTGCTATTGAATGAGAATCATACTTCTCCATAACTTTTATATGCATTTCGATTGATTTGGCAAAACCTAGAACGTATTCTTCTAGTCATCAGCAGGAAGTATAACAGAACCACTAGATAGCAGAGGTAGTTGTTCCTTTGATGATTTTTGATCTGTTTTCATGGGCTGACTGATTGCTAATGCTTGTAGCATTACGTCAGAAGCATAAATGGGAAGTGGAGAAACTGACACTTACATCACAACCTTTCAAAACACTGAAGCTATTCACTTTGTCTATTCTTCAACACATAAGCAGTTCGATGGTATACATTTTGGCTCATGGTTGCTTGCTTATGCTTTTCGTAGCAGCCATAGCAGGGGTTGGAGTGTTTCTTATAACTGATGATGGTCCTCATAGAAAGGTAGTACTCAAAATGTTTTTTTAAAGAACATGAACCATTTAATTAACATCTTTTTTGCACCAATCTTGAATTATTATACATAATTCACCTGTTCCTCCAGCAAGTTGAAGTGCTTGTTGAATATTCACGATTTGGATTGTGGTGGATGGCTCTTGGTGTTGCGTCTTCTATTGGTCTTGGTAAGCACAATTACTAAAACACCCTTGACACCTGTTAAGTTCTTTTGCACCTTCTTATCCTTTTTTTGTCTTCTTGTGTATGATTAGGATCTGGTTTGCATACTTTTGTCCTGTATCTGGGTCCCCACATTGCTTTCTTTACAATGAAAGCAATGCAATGTGGTAGAGTCGATATCAAAAGTGCTCCATATGATACAATACAGTTTAATAGAAGTCCATCATGGATTAAAAAGGATTGCTCAGAGTTTGGTCCCCCATTGTTTTCATCTCCAGTTGGTTCTCATTCAGTTCCACTTTCTAGCATTTTACCACAAGTTCAGATTGAATCTATTCTTTGGGGTTTCGGAACTGCAATTGGTGAACTCCCTCCATATTTCATTTCAAGAGCAGGTTTCTCACACATTACATATTGTCATTTATTCTTTTATCACCAACTCCACTACAACCTGTTCTGTTCTGTTCTGTCCTGCTCTTTTCTGTACTGTGTATGTAACGAGGTACATGTTTATGCAGCAAGTATCTCGGGTGGTAATGCAGAAGAAATAGAAGAAATCAATAATTCAACAGGAGACAATAATGGGCGTTCTACAAACATGAAGCGGTGGTTCTTGTCACGTGCACAATATTTGAACTTCTTCACAATTCTACTCCTTGCTTCGGTTAGTTTTCATCGTATAGTTTTTTTTTTTTTTTTTTTTTTTCTATTATGAGGATGAGGAGGGCATTTACGTCTTTTTCACTACGGATCAGAGATCTACGGATGACACATTGAAATTAGTGTCAGTCTCGGTCCAAATGCAAATGCAGTACAACCTGTTTTGTCATGTCCTGATAAGAAAAACAGAAACAAGATCTTACTATACTTACTTTCAACTCGTTTTTAATTAGCTGAAGCACAATATGTAGATACCAAATCCTCTATTTGACCTTGCTGGCATAATGTGTGGTCAATTTGGGATTCCATTTTGGGAGTTTTTTCTCGCAACAGTTATTGGGAAGGCAATCATCAAAGCTCACATACAGGTTTTTTCTATGCTTATTATTGTAAACGTAAATATATTTGGAAAATATTGTGTTGTGCATTATATTCCTTGGAATGATTTGCCATTGTCAATTATCAATTTAGGCCCTGTAATTAAGGCATAAGTTTAGTCTTGTAAATGTGTATTTCCTTTTTTACCCTTGTATCTCTTTTATATAAATATTCATAATAAAGAGACAGGAAGACACGCTGGGTTTTCTTTTCAACCTTCTTCCCCAATTTCTTCCCTGTTCTAGTTTGTGTTGTTTGCTGTCTTTCTACACAGTCTTTCATGGTATCAGAGCTTACCATGGACTCTGAATCTTCCATGACTACCGATTCTGGTTCATCCTCCATGATCAAATCACATTCTCTCCCAATCTTCTATAACCCTAACGCCATCATGGCTCATACTCATCTTACCAAAGATAATTATGTAAACTGGAGTACACTTTTCAAAACTCTTCTTCGTGCTCACCAGCTATTGTTTGTCATTGATCCTACCCCACCTCCTAAAATCCTTGCCGATGGCAAAAATAACCCAGATCATGAAACATGGCATAAGGCTACAGATTTGATCTGTTGTTGGATAAAAGGAACTGTTACCCCAGCAATTCAACCGTACTTGAACTCATGTGATACAGCCCCAGCAGCGTGGAGTGTCTTGGCTAAACGATTTGGCTCCACATCAACAATCCAAATTGAAAACCTACAAGATCGTCTTCACAATCTCAAGAAACCAACGGACCTCTCTGTATCAGACTATCTTCTCCAAGCCAAAACCATATCTGACCGCTGCAAGAAAACCACTTGAAGACTCAGAACTCATTCAACGTATCCTTGGTGGTCTTGGTGCCGAATTCAAAGAATTTCTCACATCTACTGCTTCATCTCATGTAAGACAATCCCTTAATCTTGAGGAATTGACAGAATTACTTCTTAAAGAAGAGATGTTACAACAAAAGTTTGCAATCCCAATTGAGCAATCCACAGCTCTAGCTGCTACCAAAACCTCTCCCGATCAACCTAACCCATCTCCACGTTCCAACAACAACAATGGCAATCGGGGTGGCCGAGGTCGTGGTAATAACAACACAGGTAGAGGTGGAAATCAAGGCAGAGGTAATTGGGGGAGTCAACAGTGGAACTACAATTACAATCGGAATAACAGAGGTGGTCGTGGCAGTAGTCGTACAAGAGGACCATTTAGAGGAGGAAACTCCAATGGTAGGGGAATTCTACCTACACCCACTCATATGGGTCAGTTTTTTGACCCGAATACTACATGCCAACTGTGTTACCAATATGGACATAATGCCAGAGTATGCACACAGCGAAACAATGCAGCTTACTTCTCCCAATCTGAACCGTATGTCTTGGACTCGGGTGCAACAAACCACATGACATCAGACTCCTCCAACCTAACTGAGTATTCGTCATATACAGGTAAAAATTCAGTGATTTTTGGTAATGGCACAAGCTTGCCTATTTCTCGAGTTGGTAAATTTTCTATTCATCATAAAAATCGATCTTTTCAACTGAACAATGTTCTGTTTATTCCTAAGTTGCACAAACCTCTATTATCCATTCGTCAATTCTCTAAGGATAATAATTGTTTCTTTGAACTTGACTCGTGTGGTTTTCGTGTTAAGGACATTCAGACACGGGAGACTCTTCTTTCTGGCAATAGCAGTGGAGGTCTTTATCAACTGTCATTTAATCCAAACACATCTCATAGCCCAGTTGCTTTCTTAGGCGAACGGTCAACTCCTGATACTTGGCATGATCGCTTAGGACATCCTTCTCCTAATATTCTTAGAGTTCTTTGCAGCAAGTTTAAGTTACCAATAAATGGCAAATTTTCAGAAAAACAGTGTTGCCATGTTTGTCCTATGGGAAAATCATCTAAATTAGCATTTGTTCCTAGAAATTTTAATGCTTTACATCCTCTTGACATGCTTCACCTTGATGTTTGGGGCCCTGCCCCGGTTTATTCTATGAATGGTCATCGTTTTTATTTATCTATAGTTGATGATTTCTCTCGTTATGTGTGGCTTTTCCCCTTATTTCATAAGTCTGATGTTACTAATGTCTTTTCTACCTTCAAAACTCAAATTGAAAATCAATTATCTCGGAAAATTGCAGCGGTACATTCTGTTAAGGCAGTCCAAACTGATGGTGGTGGTGAATTCACTAGTCGTCATTTTACAGCTTTTCTGTCCAAATATGGAATTAAACATCAACTCACCTGTCCCTACACACCACAGCAAAACGGTGTCGTAGAACGAAAACATAGACACATTGTTCAAATGGGTCTTTATCTTATGGCAAAATCAAACACACCTTTTAAGTTTTGGCTCGAAGCCTTTAATACTGCTGTGTACCTGATAAACAGATTGCCCATGCGTCAACTCAATTATCTCTCTCCTTATCAAAAACTTCTATTGCGTGACCCTGACTATCGTTTCCTTAAAGTATTTGTTTGTTCTTGTTTCCCGTACATTCAATCATACAATTCTCACAAGCTTATGTCAAAATCAGTTCACTGTATTTTTCTTGGTTATGATAATTCTCGTAAAGGTTATCGATGCTTGGATTTAAAGAATGGTCGAGTTTACATTTCTCGACATGTTGTTTTTGATGAGTTGGATTTTCCCTTGAGAAATAATATTGCAGGTTCTTCACTCGGGCAATCACAACCAAAAAATGTTGAGCATGTCGTAAACCAAAGTTCTGGAGACGTCTATTTGCAGCCAAACATTACCATAAATCAAAGAGAGGTCCAAAGGTCAACTGTTGGTCAACCACCATGCACGCCCAACCCTCTGTCACCACCCACTCCTGAAACTCCTACCAGACCCATCAAGAATCGAACTCATCATCAATACCCAATAGTTAATTCAAATAACCAAGTACGTTTCTCTCCTGGTGATGTTACAGAATCTTCAATAGCCACCCCTGTGGCTTTTCCTTCTTCACCTCCTACTCCCGATGTTTCTTCACCTGCCAGCCCTGTACTTTCAGAACCGGCCACTCCATCCCGTGAAAGTCCAGATGATTTAAATCCAGTTCTCAAGGTTAAATCTTTAGCTGATATTTATCAATCAACAACACCACACTCACTCCTACATGGTCTGATGGCAACTAAATCTGATGACTTATTTTATGAACCTCGGACTTTTAAACAAGCCTCCAAGTTCCCTCATTGGCAACGTGCAATGCAAGAGGAAATCACAGCCCTACACAAAAACAACACATGACATCTAGTTCCGCCTCAACAAGAAATGAATGTTGTTGGATGTAGATGGATATTTAAAGTCAAACGCAAATCAGATGGGTCTCTTGAATGCCACAAAGCTCGTTTGGTGGCACAAGGGTTCACCCAACAGGAAGGTCTTGATTATGCAGAGACATTCAGTCCGGTGGTTAAACCATCAACCATACGTACTGTTCTTTCAATCGCTCATGCTCAAAAGTGGGATATCAAACAACTGGATGTCAGAAATGCCTTTCTTAATGGCATACTTCATGAAGACGTTTACATGAAACAGCCACCAGATTTTGTTTCTAACTCCTTTCCTAATCATGTGTGCAAGCTAGATCGTGCACTCTATGGTCTCAAGCAAAGTCCCCGGGCATGGTTTCAACGTCTTCATGACTTTCTTTTACGTTTGGGCTTCTTTAATAGTCAATCTGATTCATCTCTCTTCATTAGACACACTAAAGAGGCTACTACAGTTCTTCTAGTCTATGTTGATGACATAATTGTCACGGGATCATCTCCTTCGATGGTGGCTAGTGTGATTGATGCAATCTGTGAGACTTTTGACAGTCGTCGTCTTGGTGACTTACGCTACTTTCTTGGCATAGAAGCCACACGTAATGCTCATACTTTACAGCTACGACAAACCAGATATGCTCTGGATCTTTTGGAAAGGTTCAACATGACTGGTTGCAAGCCAGCCACCACTCCCAGTGCTCCTAATTCCCGGCTTTCATTACATGATGGTGATCTTCTTTCAGATGCTACCGAGTATCATAGCATGGTTGGTGGATTACAATATCTTACACTAACCAGGCCAGACATCGCATTTTCAGTCAATCAAGTTTGCCAATTCATGCACCAACCTCGCACTTCTCATCTGCAGGCTGCTAAACGCATCCTAAGGTTCATTAAAGGCACAATACAGGAGGGGTTATCTTTCTACCCTTCAAACACTTTTGACATCCGCGCTTACTCTGATTCTGATTGGGCAGGGGACCCCAATGATCGCAGGTCTATGACAGGTGCTTGCATATATATTGGTCCAAATCTCGTCTCTTGGACTGCCAAGAAACAATCAACAGTTTCACGGTCAAGCAGTGAAGCTGAATACCGTGCACTAGCAACTACTACTGCAGAACTTCGGTGGTTTTCCTATTTGTTTCGTGAGCTGAATATGTTTCTTCATCCTCCCTCTCTCTTTTGTGACAATCTATCAGCATTACATATGGCACGTAATCCAGTCTTCCATGCCCGCACCCGCCATATTGAGATCGACTATCATTTCATACGGGAATTGGTTACTCGTGGTTTTTTATCTCTACACTACATTTCAACAGATGATCAGTTAGCGGATTTGTTCACAAAGGGTCTGTCTAAAGTCAGATTCAATTCCTTATCAGTCAAGTTGCGTATTCCATACGGACGTCTTACTTGAGGGGGGGGTGTAAACGTAAATATATTTGGAAAATATTGTGTTGTGCATTATATTCTTTGGAATGATTTGCCATTGTCAATTATCAATTTAGGCCCTGTAATTAAGGCATAAGTTTAGTCTTGTAAATGTGTATTTCCTCTTTTACCCTTGTATCTCTTTTATATAAATATTCATAATAAAGAGACAGGAAGACACGCTGGGTTTTCTTTTCAACCTTCTTCCCCAATTTCTTCCCTGTTCTAGTTTGTGTTGTTTGCTGTCTTTCTACACAGTCTTTCAATTATATCTGCTTCATGTTTTATTAAAATACAAAACATAATTCTACTATTGTATACTATGGTTGATGAGTAATCTTTTTGCAGACTGTGTTCATCATCTCAGTGTGCAATAATCAACTTCTGAACTGGATAGAAAGTGAGTTGTTATGGACATTTAGCTTCATCCCTGGTGTTGCTTCTGTCCTCCCTCCAGTTGTAGCTAAATTGCATGCCATAAAGGATAAATATATGGCAGCTACTCCTCCTGATTCCTCAAGAATCAAGGTAACTAATTTCTTTGTTCACTTTTTGTTTTTAAATAAAATCCACATCATATTTAATTTTTATGGTTTTTTTCAGGCAAAACCATGGGATCTTTCATTTGCTTCAGTTTGGAACTCCATTATATGGTTGATGTTGTTGAATTTCTTCTCTACCATTGTTACTTCAACTGCTCAGAGTTACCTTAAGAAAGAACATGAAAAAGAAATGGCTATTTTGAAAAAGAAATTAGTTCGACAACATGATACTAATTAGCTGTTTTTGGGAAGAAAAAAAAAATTATCAATGGAAATGGGAGAAGTGAAAAGACGATTGTACCCTTGGACGGTTGAGGATTTGTTGGACATGGCGCCATGTATTTACTTAGTTGCATGAGCGTTAGTGGTTTATTTTTTTGTTCTTTTTTTTTTCTCGTTTTGTTTAGTTTTTGTAAGGTTGATATATATCGGATTAAGTGTCGTTTTGTCAGAGATGTGATCTTGTTTATGATTAATTGGACATCGTCTCACGATTGATGGTTTTCATCTAAATCAAAGAGAAAACTTTCTAAACATAAACGCTACCATTTGATCCGATAAATATTTATGTATATATACTATGATCCAAAAATAAATAAAATAATGAAAATAGTAGTTCAAAAAGGTTTTGAAAATATAAGGAAATAATCTTTTAAGGAAAATAATAAACATAAAAATTATGAGTCTAGCCACATGGCATTTGATTGATTCCACCAAAGGATGTGGATTGTGCCACTTACCAGTTAGGTCCAAAACCAATGCCCAGTAAGATGCATTGCTTGGGCCTTGACAGTTTGACTATTGACTCATTTAGTAGGTATAATGCTTTAGGCCCAGTATCAAATTATTAGATTCCGATAGCCCATGACCAATATAACTTTATAACAATTTAATTTTTAACCCTAAAACTAATATTTTTTTGTTTATTTTCATTTGATTTTTGTTTCTATACTAATTCTTTATTACTGGAAGTGGTGTAATTGAAGCCAAAATTGTGCACGAAAAAATAATGAGACACCCTATAATTGTTGAAGTCTTGCCACAATCAGCGTTGAATTATTATTAATAACCTCATAGGTTAAAATGTATATATAATTGTAATGTATCTAAAGTGATGTGATAAACCACTAGTTTATAATCAAAATATCATCCATTTGGATTTTATTTCCTTTAACCGCTTAATTTGAAAAGAACTTGTTCTAACAACTATATCGTTATTCCAAAAAATAACTGACACCTACCAAACTAAAAGGACGATATATTTTTCATATTCATTAAAAGGAATAAAGAAATGTACACGTGGTGTGGAAAGTGGACTTCTTTTTTAAAGGAAAAGTAGAACGGGGTCCCCATTACATCCATTGACGCGTCTGATGAGATTTGTGTTTTATAAAGTCTTGTTCCAAAAGCAAAAAACGACGTCTTTTGTGTTGTTGTGAGGAACCCAACTTAGATAAGGAAGTGACTGTGTGTCGCCAAATTATAGAAAGAAGGGACCACGCTCATTAAAAAGAAATCGACAAATTTGTTGACTTAAATATCAACTAAAGATTCTACTAATGACACCATTATAATTTCTAATGATATGATTTCACATCAAAAATATGTTTATAACTTTAATATTCCATCTCTACATAGCCCCACTTGTCTTTGTATTTAAATTAAAAAGTTTAATATTTAACCTTTTTAATCTTTTTATATGTTACAAACTCTCTTTTTATGTTGTTTACTTTTTACTATTTTATATTCATTAACTTATTAATAAAAATAGTTATTGATAAATAAAAAAATAATGTGCATTATATATATTAAATTATTTTTTTTCTCTTTCCATTATAATAAATATTAATAGCATTTTTTTTTTACTAAGACAACATTTGACTTTTATTTCACTTTCTACATTAAGTTGTAATAAGAAATATACTAGTATTTTATACGTGATTAAATTATCTTGAAAACATCAAAAGAGTTTTTATACTACATGAGGTCGTATGTTCATCTCTTAATAGTCTCATTAAGAGACTGACTCTGAATTTGTAAAACGTTTTGATCGTCGAAATAGTGCATCTAAATGACTCAGATTTAAAATATATTTGAATGAGCTATTGGACGCATATGCCCCTTTTCCCTAAAAACCAGTCGTTCTTCTCACGCCAAACTTGTTGTGATCACGATCTTTAGTTCCGCCTCCATTACCAACGCCACTAAGTTTGTCTTCTTTGGTTTGAAATCGGTAATACCATCACTGATATCATTTGTTTTGTTGAAACCATCATTAAAATCATTTTTTTTTTATAAAATCATTGAATTTTTTTTTCTGACACCTCCTGTGAAATCAATTTTTTGGTATGAACTTTGGAAAATCATATTGCTTGAACTTTGAAGTTTGACCTAAAATCTTAAAAACCAGGCTTGAAATGCTTTTGCTTTGATGTTCCTTATGCTAAAGTGCTTTGATTTTGATGTTATCTATGAAAATATGAAAAATCATAATGCTGAAAAATTAGATTGCTTTTGAAATGCTTGAAATCTGAATTTGCTCTAATGAATATTGAAAAATATGATTCTTTGGTGTTTTCAATTGATCCTAGACATTCACTAAAGAGCCTTAAAATTGGTTGGAAACAAGAGGTGTAAAGAAAACCTTTCTTGAAGCATGTTTACATGAAATGACAATTAATAGATGTGAAAGGAGTAGCTTGAAACCATGCTCATGGAAGAGTGTAGCTAAAAGAATAGAAACATAACACAATTTTATAGTGAATCAAAAGAAAATGAAAAACCGTTTACCGTTTGGTTGAAGCTAAAGAACAAACGGGGAGTGTTTATAATCTAATAAATAACATATTTGGTATGGAAGAAGAAGAAGAGTGGCAAGTTGAGATTGAGGTATTGTGTTTTTTTTTTAGTAAATAAAAATTATTATTATGTTTTGGTAATCTTATAATATTTTATAATATTCTTGATGCATTTGAACAAATATGTAAAAGCTTTAAGAAATTCACCCTGCTTAACCCTAATCTTTGGGGGACATCTTCTAAAGTTCCCCATCCGTTTGAGGGATTTTTTGGCCATAGTTTAATGATTTGATGATATTCAATACATTCAAATGGAACTCACGGCTTCAAGAGACCCTATAAGTGCAAGTAGACATGGCAAAACTTGACACAACATAAAAACCCGACAAGAAATTAGCGGGTATAAGTTAGAGATTTCGACACGTTTATGTAAACGGGTTGACACGACATGTCACGATAATTAAACGGGTAGGTGTAACATCCGGAATTTCGGGTATGATAGTTTGTGTTTCAATTTCGAGGATTTAGGAGGGACTCGACGAGTCGTAGGTCTGACTCGCCGAGTCACGTCGAGTTGACCGCGTGGATTTAATGAGCGGACTCGATGAGTCCAAGTATGGACTCGCCGAGTAGGTACTGGGCAGAGAAAACCCTAAGTTCCGGGGTTGGAGCCTATTTAAAGGAACTTATGACCTTGGATGCGCCTCATATCCCCTGTGAGAAACCCTAAATCGCCATTGGAGCCATGGGAGAGTTCTTCTGATGAAATCAAGTAATTTTGGTGTGATTTTGCAAAGGAAGTGAAGGGATTCAGCTAGAAGGACCAAAGGAGGTTGTTATTCTGAGTCATCCAAGCAAGGATCTCCATTCTGAGGTAGTATTTCGCCCCTTCCTTCTGTTTTGTGTAGAATCCTTGAATCTTGGGTTTTCTTTACCCTTTCTTGGATAGTATATGATGCATATGAGGTCCCAATGTGGAAAAAGTCTTAGATCTGGACCTTAAGAGGTCAAGAGAGTCCCAACCATTCTGCTTTATGTTGTTTCCTTGGAGATATGAGCCTAGGTTGCCATTTTAGAAGCTATTTCACCAAAAGAAGCCTTATGTGTGTTGCATGAGTGTAAAGATTGGACCTTTACGTGATTATTGAGCATTGGGAAGTCAGATCTATAGGTTAGAGAAACAGATCTGACCTCAGAAGGTCTTTTGAGTGTTGCCATGGAGGAAACTCGCCGAGTCCATAAGGGGACTCGACGAGTCGAGTCGGGTTGCCCCGCGATTCGTGACCAGTGGTAACCCGTCGAGTGGAAGGTTAACTCGACTCGTCGAGTGAGGATTTATGAGGGTTAAGAGGACACGTATGGACTCGCCGAGTCACACGAGTGCACTCGACGAGTTTGGTCAAAGTTTGACCGTTGTCTAGAGCTGACTTCAGTTGACCTTAGGGTTTTGGTCAAGCTGGTTCAAGAGAGGTCAGGGAGGGGTAGAATGGTCTTCTACCCATTCCTTAGGAAGGAGGACAAGAGAAAGTATTGATTAGAGATGTTATTATGTTGATAGGAGGAGGCTAGGTCGGGTTATCGAGCACGAGAGGTTATCCGACATCGTACGAGGTGAGTCTTCTCACTATACCTTACCTAGAGTGGTAATTATGTGTGACCGGAAGGTCTTATGTGCTATGACGAGTATGTGATATATGTTGCTATGTGATATGTATATGTTATGTATGTTTTGAGCAGCAGTGTATGGACCGGAAGGTCAACAGTGTATGGACCGGAAGGTCAGTATGATATGGACCGGAAGGTCAGTATGGTATGGACCGGAAGGTCGACAGAGTAGGACCGGAAGGTCTACTCAGATTGTGGGACCAGAAGGCCCCTGAGACACATTGACCGGAAGGTCTCGTAGAGCTATAGCCTCGAGTGGCTAGTTGTATGTACGTGGTATTTTGGGGAACTCACTAAGCATGCGTGCTTACCGTTTATGTGATATGTGTTTCAGGTACTTCAGAGGACCGCGGGAAGGCACCGACATGATTGTACACACACACACTATGTTTTGGGAGGAGCTACTGTGGATCCTGGATTTTATGTGAAGATTTTGAAACTTTGTTAAGTGAATAATTGGTGTTGAATAATATGATATATGTTTTTATGAATTAAGAATGAAAATTGGTTTGAATTTTCACGACGTTACAAGTTGGTATCAGAGCCTTGGTTTGAGGGATTCGGATACACCTTCGGGCATATCTGAACTCAAACTGAGGATTTGAGAAAAGTTTTCAAAAGAAACAATTTTCTAAGATAAGTAAAAGATTTTCAAGAAAGCGGAGAAGAGCAGTGTGTACAATCAGCCAGCGCCCGAACGGTGATTTCCCAAAATACCCTTACGTTATATGTTATGAGATGTTATGTGATATGTTATGCATGCTACAGAGTAGGCTAGGTATTCATATCTAGGACTAGAGTGATTTGTGATACCTTAGCCTAGGAGTTACTGCTACTATGAGTTACTACGAGAGTGAGTAGGTAGCAGAGAGGAGCTTACGAGAGGTCTACTGGAAAGTGGCATGTGTGTGATAAGATGTAGAGTACTTGTGATCTGGAATCCTAGGAGGAGGACTTGGGGTGAATACTGATGTGGTGTGGAAGGTAGTATAGGGCACGTACTACTGGAAACACCGGATCAGTGAGCAGTCCAAGTAAGAATCCTTAGGA